CCCACCCGCCCCCTAATGGCCATTCCTTAGCGAGATACAGGCGCATCGACTGGGAAACACGACACAGCACGCCGATGACACCCGGGAGACACTACACCGCTACGGCCAGTGTACGTCCAGTTCAGCGCGACATGCGAACCAGGCAAGTCAATTATACGTTTTTCCTACGGCGGCGATTTTTTCCCCCGGCTTTTATCGCACACTTTTTCGCTAAGCTTTGAATTGGAATTTCTTCGAGGCAACGGACACTGTACCACACACGTATATAATATGTCTGATATATGAATATAACACATTGTTGCCCCGTCAAAGTTTAGTGATTGGATTTTGACATTATTTTTTTATTTATTTTTTTGACCCATAATAACATTATCGGGATCGACATGAAAATTCGTCGATTCAATTAAACCCACCAGAAATCATTGTTTTTCCTATGCGTTACATAATTCGAACCCACTGCCTACAAAACGTTTCTCGTGACTTTTACGTACGACCCTTATAGCATCAGAAATAATTAAATCAATCGATATTAGATACGTAGGAGACTATGTAAGATTTTCGAATTTTTTTTCATATATTTCGGTCTCATGACATACTTTATGCGGAATAGAATCCATAACATTCATATTCGAAAATGTTCTCACTAAACGTTTCACAGTCGACAACTGAAACATTGGTAATAACTTGCTTACAAATGCTTTAGAATCGGTTTCAACGTGATAACAATGATAATAAATGTCTAGTTATGAGAGTGACAAAAATAATATTTATATGCTGACCTTCATTAGTGACTTGGGTGTTCATCGGTTGCGGTGAAATTCCAGTCAGGGATGTTGGATCGATGCACTCGGACACGGTGTACTTCATCCGATCGGAGAACCCTTCTCGGCCGGACGCGACATCATCTACTGACGAAATCAATCTGACGCAGTAGGCTGGCGACGGCTCGTTGGAAGCTCCTGCAACGGACGCAGTAGCGTCGTCAACAGCCACAGGAGCAGCTGGTGAGGGCGGTAATTTTCCATAGAACACGGTTCCAGGGAGTACAGGGCACGAGACCAGCACACGATCACTAACATTGTTACCTGTGGATTTCCAGACAAGCAACCGCATTAGATGTTGAACGATTTTTATTTTAGGTAAGTGGTACCATTTGGTTTTAATTTTAAAGTATTGTAAGTAGTACATGGGCGTTCTCACAAGAGAGAGAATACGAGGGATGAATCCCCCATGGCTTTTTTTTTTTTTTTTTAATGGAATTTATTTTCATGTTCAATTGATATTTGGTAATAATCAATAAATATTTTAACTCGTTATCATTTTCCACACAAATGGTATACAGATTACATACCACGATTACAGATAAATATTAATATCTTTATCGCTGTTCTTGTTTTATGATAATCTGAGTTCAATGTATTGATATAAATAATAAATTAATCACATTATACCACCATTGTATGTGGTTTTTATATAAGAAAGGAGGTGCGGAGGCTTAGTCCACACGGATCACTTTTTAATACATTTTTATAAACCATGGGGTTTGATAGTGGTTTAGAGGAGGGGCCTTAATTAAAACAATTCTGAGAAAGCCTCTAAGTAGATATATTTAATAATAAACCACTCATGTAACCAGGTAGAGTATGTTGATAACTACAACAAGTTTCTATTTTTTCTCTACCATTCCATCAACAAAATAACCAATAATTTGAATTTTACCGTGTCCGAGTAAAAGGAAATAAATACAAAAAACACTATTTTATAAATATTCTCAAGTTAAGACTATTTAAAAAAATTTTCAATTATATTCATCAGTTGATTTTCAAAATATGGGTTTTGTTGAAACTTAAAATATTTTATTAACTTTAAACTTATAGTCCCTTATTCACTTAATCCCGTAAGTAATTTACTCTTTTCAGGTAGTATTTATTTGAACTTATTCCTTTTTACTCATAATTTTACCATTAGACAGATTTTAATTTGATTTGATTCCTATTGCACATACTACTCGTAACTTATTCCTTAGAGTAACACTTTTTGCCCTACGTCCTTTTACTCAATATATTATTATTGTTAATATTTTATATGAAGAATTCGTAATAATCAAATGTGATAAAAATTAAAAGTAATATGTTGAGTTATTACTATTTGTGCAATGGCATAAGACTTATTCATTTTGTCCCATAAGTTCATGAAAAAATGAACCAATATTAATTAAAAAAAAAAAAATGTAAATTAAAATAATCTACAATAACAAATGATAAAAAAATAATCATTCACACAGGATTATTCTCTTTCATACGGGCACTGTCTAATTTAATTATTTTATAATGTTTAATTAATTTGATAAACGTACACAATGGTTCTTATAGTTTCTGATTAACTTTTTACGAGTAGAAATAAATAATAATAATGTAAATAATAAAGTAATATGTATAATTATTAATAGCAATATAAATCATTACCGCACAGATTTATTTTTAAAAAAAAAAACTATATCCCATTCGGGTTTATATGTATATACGATGTACTAAATTATTCTATGATTTTCCGTTACGTCAACCGTTTCCTACACACAGTAACTATTTATGGTTTACGACAGTTTTGTATTTTATATCTGGAGCTTAGTAAATAGATATTGGAAAATTAACAACAACGGTGGTGTAATTAAACATTTCTAAAAAATTCTTATTTGAAAAGTTGGGAACAAAATTCGAAATTTTCACATTAGAGAAATATTGTTGAATATAGTGCCATCCATTAGTCGTGTTCAAAACGAACATTCCAAACTTTCACGTTAAAAAGGAACTATGCTTACAAGTTTCGAGTTAAATATATGTATAAACCCAATATTTGATAAAACTAATCTTGATATTAAGTCCGATAAATCACAAGTAAATAAATATTAAATAAGATATTGATTTCGAAATCGACTGCTATTTAATTTTAAAACCCAATTCAAAAGTTATTTGATAAGCTAGATTTGAAAATATGCTTTGCTAGTATGTTACTATAGACTTAAAAATATAGTACATGTATTGCACAAATACTCACATTATTATTTTTCACACAATGCAGTTAGCGAAGCCCGGTAGAGAAGGCGTTTAATTTTTTTATAGTAAACATATTACTTATCTTTATAGGTAGATTAGTTGTATTAACCTACGTACACTCTATACTCGTAATTAATTTAATAGAGCACCATAGTACTTATTCCGTTTTTAATAAAGTTAAATAAATTCCAAAAATAAATTCGTAGATATATTACCATTAATTTTTTATTTTTTTAATCACTCCAGTCTAATTAAAGACTTTGCATACCCGGATATTCCATAATCAATGTCATGTTTTTATATCTTATTAATAATTTTGTTAATAAGAATTGTATATTATACGAAATATTGATGACGTAGACAGAGCTTTTTTATTTTAAACAGTAATATATGGTTGACAGGTGCACTAACGACTTATGATGGAAGTGTTGCATACACGTGTTATATAGCAGAGTTAATACGATATTTTGACCAAAGGCAGTCTTATTTGAAAGTTGTATAAAAGAAAATAACTATACTATGTACTATGTGTATGTGCAGCTAGGTTAAACCTTAATTATTTTAATTTTATTTTCTGTGCGGTGATTATTAATTTGTAGATCGTGAAATTACAAGAAGACTAAGATTATGTAACATTGTTGAATGCAGAATGATTTACATCATTGCAGCATGGACGGTAAACATTGTATAATTTCACTTTTATGTTATAAAAACGCAAAAGAAAATTAAAAAAATATGTAAATTTTATGTTATTAACCTAATCTAATTAAATCAGCTCACTTATTTTGAATTATGAAAACGAAGTATATCTGTTTGTTATATTATCCTTTTGGTAACATAAATTTAAAAAATATAAACCTATACATTTTAAAAGCAAATATTGTTACGGCTACGTTACAATATTTATTTATTATTTTTTATGTACCTATATTATTTTTATTTATGAATGCTCTACAATTGTCATATGTTCAAATTGGCTTTTAAATAAGACTGATGCAATAACGCATAAAAGAAGAATTATAAGTAAATTTACTAAACTTATGATATATAATAAAAAATAGTCAATAAACCTTGTTTGGTTAAATTGTTTTAATTTCAGATTAATTGTACTCAGATTACAAAAAAATACTATCGTATGTACATGTTTTATAAATTTCAAGTTGTTAATCGACACTGCCTTTATATATGTTCATAATAAATTGTGGTTAGACTATTTGTTATAAACAGAAATACATTTATATTTTTTAGATTAAGGAATACAAAATTCAAATAGCAAAGTAACATCCGGATTTGATCAAATAAATTATGAAAGTGACTGAATTAAAAGTATAAAAATAATGCTTAAGTTAATAATATTTCCTTGGTATTCTATAGATCTAATCAATTAGGATAAAGACATTTTCAGTTTGTCACACTTGTGTTTGTATGAGGCTTCAAGTAGAAAACAACTCAGAACTATACTCCTTAAACCTTTTCAAGGGTTATATATACGATGCAATTACTTTTGGTTGTAAAGTATAATTAATTCTTAATTTGTGTTAGTTATAACTTTTTCTCTAAATTATCAACTACTGCCAATCACCAATAAAACGTAAAAGTCTATAGTTATAAAACAATTTTTTTTATTAATTTATCACACATTTATAACTTATTAGTAATTTTTAATGTAGGTGATTATTTTGAAAAGCTATGCATTCCAGTGAACTTTTAGGAGACATTTTAAAAGAGACGCTTTTTAAGCGCTGTAAGAGGTACGGAAACTGAGTAATTTTATGTTCCCCCCCTTATTTCAAATCCTGCGCTAGTATCTTATTGTAAGAAATAGGTGAAAAATACGACATTTAGTTTAGGACCAAATGCCAAAAAGAACATCAATTTTATGAATATAATAATATATTGAGTACTCAAAAAAACTCAACCGCTCGAGACGACAATTAGTAACTACTTACGAGTTTCGGTGATCCAACGCTGTTGGTGAGGACGAGGACTTGTGTGGCTTTTCACATCACTATTGGGGGCAACAGTCTTGTTTTCCGCACATACTTCTCGTGCAAAGCTCAGCAAAGGCTGGTAGGGTTTTGGCGCATTATTGGCTAAAAATTATAAAAGAACATTTATTAATTGATATAAAAAAATTATTATTAATTTTCTCAAATTATTAATACATAAAAAACAACTTACCAATGAGTACGGCGTATTCGATTATGTTTTTGTCTCTGCGAACGAGCCACATGCACCCATAAATCAGACTTTCATTGATAGCAATGTTAATCATTGAATCTGATTTATTTTCGTTATTTCTAGAAGGCAAACAAATAAATACAAATATATTTGACGTTGATTTATATAGACTTATTATTTGATGATATGAATGTAAACTTACAGATAAGATGTATCGTGGGTCAGATAGTGTTCATCGCCTACACGTTTACCACCCATGATTAAAAACTTGGCAATGTTTTCCGGTTGTCCAATATTTTCGTCAAAATCGACGGGCATCACGTTACGCCATTCAGTTTTTGAACTCCGTAAGGCATCCATGGTGCTGCGCTTCTTACGATGACTGTCCGGAAACTTTGAATCTGTCATCACACCTGTCTTCATGTCATTCAAATAAATTGCACGTGGTTCTTTCCTTTTATTGATATAATTTTCGAAATTTGTAACTATAGCGTAGTAATTCATTGGTACTTTTTTATGCACATTAGTATGCGATTCCCACATGCGATTTAATCGTAATACTGTTTGCCATTTTTCTAAAGCCTTGGTCATCGGCATCCCCCTGGAGACAGCTTCTCGTACAAATTCACCCGCTGTAGGTAATCGTTTATCATTTCCTTTCCTAGCTTTAACAGCATTCCAACTGTCCGTGAGAATAGTGATGTCCTTTAATTCTTCGTCCTTGATGGCTTTCAATAATGCTTCTTCGTCTTCCATGTCAGTTTCAATGTCGACCTCTCTTTTACCCGAGTTGAAGCCATCTATAGGTTCATCTTCATCTCTAAACTTGACCGGAAAGGCGCCTGTCGTAGATACAGACTTTGGAGTTGTAGCATCTCCGGAGCATGGGGCCCTCTTCGATCGTTGGGTTCTTCTGGGCGCATTGAATATTTGTTCAGCCAAAGGAGATCGTGGTGATGATGACCGATGAGATGAATCACCGATCGGATAACGTTCATCACCCTCTTGATTACCACCCATGATTAATAACTTGTCAGTGTTTTCCGGTTGTTCATTATTTTCGTAAATATCGACGGGCTTCACTTTACGCCATTTAGTTTTTGCACTCCGTAAGGCATCCATGATGCTGCGCTTCTTACGTTTACTGTGCGGAAACATTGTATCAATTATCACACCTGTCTTCATGCTATTCAAATAAATTGCACGTGGTTCTTTCCTTTTCTTGGTGTAATTTTCGAAATTTGTAACTATAGCATAGTAATTCATCGGTACTTTTTTATGCACATTAGTATGCGATTCCCACATGCGATTTAATCGTAATACTGTTTGCCACTTTTCTAAAGCCTTGGTCATCGGCATCCCCCTGGAGACAGCTTCTCGTACAAATTCACCCGCTGTAGGTAATCGTTTATCATTTCCTTTCCTGGCTTTAACAGCATTCCAACTGTCCGTGAGAATAGTGATGTCCTTTAATTCTTCGTCCTTGATGGCTTTCAATAATGCTTCTTCGTCTTCCATATCAGTTTCAATGTCGACCTCTCTTTTACCCGAGTTGAAGCCATCTATAGGATCATCTTCATCTCTAAACTTGACCGGAAAGGCGCCTGTCGTAGATACAGACTTTGGAGTTGTAGCATCTCCGGAGCATGGGGCCCTCTTCGATCGTTGGGTTCTTCTGGGCGCATTGAATATTTTTTCAACTGGAAGAGATCGTGGCGGAGATGGTGGAGGTGTTGGTGGAAAAATTGGGTCATCGGTGTTCTTAATTTTTTTACTGGTATCTCGACGCACTTTTTGTGGATTTCCTGACTTATCTACATTTCCATCTGTCACTTCTTGATCTTCAGTTTCGTCAATATCACTTTCATACAAAACACTTGTATCAAAGGTTGCCGTATCATCGTTAATGCATAAATTCGTCCAGCATCCTTGTGCCCATTCCGGGAATCTAAATGAAACAAAAATATAATTATTAAATAGTTATTATCCTTAAGTCATATTATGTTATGATGATGATAATAATAATATATTTCATTGTTAAAAAAAATATCATCTTGTCTTATTTCTATAATTTATAGTTAAAATATTATAATATAGGTATACAATATAAATATTAATGATAAATTATTATTACTAGTTATTTGATTATAAACCAATAAGCTGCATATATTACTGTTAAATATACATGATTAACAATATTTACTGACCTATATCCTTTAGCGGCTCTTCGAGATCTGGTCAATACGTGGTGTGCAGTAATATCCTGACTTCTTGAATTCATCAATACATCGTTGTTGGTATCGTTTTTAAGTCTTTTAGAAAAATCAAGAACCTCACGAGGTCTAATAACGTTATCTAAAGTTTCATCAGTATTCATTTTCTTGTTTATTTCTCCAATCCTTAATTTTGGTTTTGACTTGGTATATTTCTCAACAGATAAAGCGTTTGAAATGGGGGAATATTCCCCCATATTCAAAAACAGTACCACAGTTTGATCAGTCCAGTTGCTCTTCAAGGAAAAGGTCATATGTTCGAAATTGTTTTGATGTTCTCCGAGATCCTTGCACATTATATCGTCATCGAGGGCTATAGTTAGCAATGCGTTTTTTCCACTATTGAATTTTTGATAAATCTGTACAGTTAAATTGACACATAAAAAAATCAATAGTTTGCCTTTATCGCATTTATAACTTTAGTGTTTATTTATTTTTACGTATATAATTACATGCATATTAATATTTTTTTACGTTCACTCATGTTAAATTTACACTCTTATAGATAAAATAAACAGTATATTATATTTATACATTTAATGGTATTACTAGCATATGCGGCAAGTTTTAATAAAATTCATATAATTATTATTCTATATACTTTTTGTTTAAACTTTTATAAATACAAATTTTTATAAATTTTGTTTATACTTCAATATAACTAATTTAATTGTTGTATGTTTTTTAAACAGTATTTTACATCACCTCGAGTCGTCAGTTGTATACACCCTCATGAAAAACAAGATTCTTAAGTTGGTAATTACTTTTTTATTTCGATTATCGAGCTCGGATTTTATAAAAATTATAATTATTTTATTTTATTTTTTCTATGCGATTTCATCAATAAATATGATCGTTTTTTTGGTTAACTTAAACTTTTTACGTAACGATTAGAAAATATAGTTAATATGTATTCGAGATCGATGTAAAAACAGAAAACTATTTTTATACATACTATAATTAAGAATGTACGTGGGATTTTTTTTTGATTCGTATTAATTTGTAACGAAATAATTGTATTACTTACAGCACATCGTGCAGCCATTCGTCCATGTCTAGCAGCTCGATCATAAAGCCTTACAAACATAATAGTTTGTCCTTTATCGGCGTCGCCATACCAGCTGGATATGCAGCTGAACTGGAAAAAGTCCATTTCTGTAAAAAACGTATGGAAAAATTACAAAACAATGACACGTGTAAGTAAAAAATACTAAAAATAATATGTTTGCAACAATCCGCAATTGTAAATTTTTGTCTGTGCCATAACGATGTGTGCGAATCGTGTATTACGTGGAGATAATTGGGGAAAAGTCGAAAATCGAGATTCAAGTAAAAAAACTATTACCTTTATCTGTTATAAAAACTGTTCTCATATCTGAGCTACTGTTTAACTGCCGTTTTTTTTACTAGTAAAAACAACTATTTTCTAATCAATGACTACAATAAACATTTTTAATTCGCACCGAATTTAGCACTACTTAATTCAACTGAACTCTTTTCGGCTTATTTTCCATGAATCCCAATGTAGCAATTAATATGAGAGATAAATATTTATAACATTTGAATGTGGTATTTTTATCACTAGAACATGCGGATGTCAGTTTGAAAAAAAAATACCCATAACGCTGGTAAGAGAAACACGCTTATCAATAGGTGAGATTAATAATTAACTACGGTTACAATATCGTATTAATATTAATATATGAACATACTATCAGTATTATTGCAAAACGTTCCGTCTGTTGGTTTCAAGCCAAGCCACACATTTAACCGATAGTCGCCGAAGGCACCGTTCGGTACGAGCTCTTTCGAGATACATCCTCCAGGGATTACATTGTCATGAGCTCCTGCCAACACGACTGCTTCATTTTTCACATCAAGTCCTCCAAAATAAGGGCAAAAATCTTGATGGGTGTCTGCAACAAATGAGGAAAAATACATCAATAAAATGGTTAACAAATATTTATATTTTTATTATTATTATTAAATAATAATGTATGTATTATGCATGGGATGTAGAAAACCGAAACAAGTGGAGTTTTAGGACAAAGGTGGTCGACCTCAAATAATTGGTAGAAAGCCGAGGGAGAAAAAGAAAATTATTTATATTATTATTATCTCGCAAGGCTTAGTTAAATATTTAACCCTGTTCTACGTTTATTTAAGTATTTATGTACACTAATAGTTAATAATTATAGTTTAGTCATAGATTAAGAATTACAATAAGTTTATGTACACTAATAGATAATAATTATAGTATAGTGATAGATTAAGAATTACAATAAGTTTATGTACACTAATAGATAATAATTATAGTATAGTGATAGATTAAGAATTACAATAAGTTATTAAATGTTTACATTTATTTTTTTCAAGTTTAATGGCAATGAATTGTTCGTATACGCCCTATTATTTGTATAATTTTTGGGTCGCAACTAATTCATGCCCAACATATCTATAATTTTGATTGAGAAACGCAATGCGCGACAACAGATTTTATTAAAATAATACTTTATACTTTATCTGTTGAAATAACATTAAAATAATGTTGACTCATTTTTAAAAAAATTAATGTTTAGCTCCCTTCCCAAGATTCATAAATATGAGCGCCCGTAACAATATACATTCACACACACACACACACATCGAATAAGTGACATGAGCTGACGGTGAGTACAATAATAAGTCGTCGTATTGGTGTAAATCTGGAAAAAATACGCAATGGAGGGATGACGAGAAGATGATGATGAGAAGAAACTAAGAAAATAAAATAAAATAAAATAAAATAAAATGAAATAAAATAAAATAATGAAGAATGAGCAAAACTGAGTTGAAAATGGCCGATATGAAACTGTGATTGTTACGTGGTGAAGAACAAAAAAACGGTGGTTTATGACGCTATGTGGTATTTAAGCAACAGTGGAAGTAAAAGATCGCGTATTTGACACATCTCTATCCGCCCTGGTATAACTCTTTTTGTCATGTTGTTGCGCTGTACGACGATTCTCAATTGACATTATGCTAGTGGTTACGTTAATCGACAGATTCGCTCGAAAACGACCGCTTACGGTATACACCCTTCTCATGTTCTCGTCCTTTCTTATTGTGATAAAAATAATATTATTTTTCCATTCAATTTCGCGTAGCATATAGCAAACGACCGTTGTGACGAGCCCCTCCTTGTTCAGTATTGTATTAAGCGATGACCATTTTGTATTGAAACAACCCACAAGACCGACCTTATTTATTATCCCTTTGTAATGTGAACACAGGCGACGGTGTGTCGAACAAATGCCGAAACATTACCAATCCACGATCAAGAATCACTGTCGCCTCCTTCACACCACTGACACTTTTACTATTGTATAAACTATGTACCCTTATCCGTTCTCCGACCTTCGCCCAACCGTATTGTCCGTAATAATATAAGGTTAGGGGACCCGGCCAGTTTTTGCGCCCCCTCCTACGACCGGAAGTCGGTGGACGGGGCTTTTCTGGCCAATAACTCGGCACTCATACCCACATAATGTAATGTCGTGTTGATTTTTTATGAGTAAAAAAAAAAAAAAACAATAATATTTCATGTGTTTTCATTCAAGCATTAATTTGACTCATTATCTCTCAAAACTGTTCAACTTATTTAATTAATATAATTATTTTTAACAGAGAAAACAGTCATACACTTCATTTTCAGTTGATGCTTTGCAATATTTTCTTTTCAAATGGTTTGAAATTCTAATAAAATAATTAGGTGCGAACAAATGCAATACAATAATATAAACATAATAAGTTGATTTTTGTCTTAATAATACCGCTTTCTTTATATGAATAACAACGAAATATTCCCGTTTTTTTATTATTATTATCACACGAAACAAAATAAGCATACTTTGACCGGAAAAAGTAATTACAAGATTTTAATTAATTTTCTTTTACTTTTTACCTCATTCAATATCAAGATAGACTCGAATGTATACGAGAAAAAGCTATAAATTGCAACTGTGTTTTATTGTTAAGGTTCTGCGCTTGTATGGTATAATTGTTCTAATACTTTAATATTGTAAACGAAAAATATAAAATCAATACGGTTACGGTGTATATATGTTGAATTTTTTAATTTTATTCGTCTTATATTTTTAAAAAAAAATACAATTATAAGAATTGCAATTATTTGTTAGTTTTTTTTAATTGCCTCATTCACCCATGTAACTATTCTCATTTATATATTATAATGCGTGTGTGAAAAATAAATGAATGAATGATGATTTTCCATGTTTTTTATGTGCTGTCGCAAAAAATATTGTTATTTCGCATTGTACGAAATCATTAACTTAGTTTTTAATTTTTGAAAATACCTAGTTCAAAATCTCTAAACTCTCAGCGAAACATTATTACCACGTACTTGTGAGTCGGTAAAAAATAATCTAAGCGAGCATGGACTTTATAACATTGTATACGCGTTCTGCGTACGATTAAAACTAAAAATATTATTGTTAAAAAAAATCAATAAGATAATATTATTTTTTATATTTGCATACACGTATAAATGATGTACCCATCGCAACATGTTTTGTAAGAAAATAAACGTATATTTTGTATTGTATGTCTATGTTTTGTTTTACGAAACCTTATAATTTCCAGGTATCTACTGCACTAAACTCGTGAATTGAACAACATTTAAAGTCGTTTGATTGTTGAAAAATGTTAGGCTGTTACTGTTAATTAACATTATTACTATTAAAGTTTTTTTTAACAGCTAGGTAATAAAAAATTGTATCCGTAAACAAAAATAATATTTTTTCTCGGTCGTGAACACTAACGCTGGTAAGTGTACTAACCAGCGCTATACACTTTTAGGACTGCCGATTTTATTTACGTTTACGCGCTGCGATTAATCGTAGTCGAAACAAAACACACGTGAGCGAAACCCCGCCAATGACTTCCGCCGTGATTTCCGCCAACACACACCTGACTTACGCACTTATATTCATTGGGCCCTTCGATGTGAAGCAAACATGAGTACTGTCGAACAATGATAAAAAGCATAAAATGTCGAAGATTTTCTGTTTTTTCTTTGGACACGTTAAATCCATATTGTAATAAATACAATGAGGGGTTTTTTTTATGCATTTTCCAACAAAGAAATTGTTTCATTTTAACTATAAGTCGAAATAAACCTTGATTATTTTAAGTAATGGATTATTATTATTTGGGGCAACGAACGTGTTCAAATTTACCAAATGAAATTTTAAATTTTAAATCAACCATGAATTTATTTATGAACCATATAAAACAAAGTTCTCTACCGCGTCTTTGCACAATTTTTTCAGTGACAACGGGACTGGTCAATTTTTAAGAAACGATTAATATTTTATACACAAACTGTTTAGAGAATAGTAATTTAATTAACAGCAATTTTTAAAACGTAAAGTTGTGTTGCATGCAATTACTTAACTATATCACATTAAACGGCCTTTGTTGTTACAACGTACTTAATAATAATAATATCTAACAGTAAAGTAATAAATAGTCGGTGCCTAGTTACAATTATTAAAAGGCATAAATATATATTATGACATTCAGTGACGAGGACAAATGCAGGTTCTTTTTTAGCTTTACAAATGTAACTTGTATTATCAATTTTGGTTTTGGTTTCGCTCCTCCCACAAAATTATTAAAGATAATTACTGTTTTATTAATTATATCAAGTGGACGTTTAATAAAAAAGTACTTATAAAAAAAAAATACTTATATAAAAAAGCCCACCTGCTTTCCCATCGTCATCAAATACACTACTAAATACAAAAGTATGTACATCGATGCAGTAGCGTCATTAGAGTAGGGAGGGGGGCAACTCATGAATTTGCCAAAGTCTAGAGTTAAGCTATTCCAAAGTCGACACATCATCAACATATAAATACATCTTCAATAAAGCCATTGACACGTTGTAAATCAGAAAAATGAGACGTGTACAAATCATTATATTTTTGGACTGGTTTGACGTCTCCTTCCCCCCATGTTAATCGGCACTTAGTTAAAATGAGCCGCCGATTCGACAAATTAATAAGATCATGCCGAATACTCAACTCTAGACAATAACTGAAATGACGCCGCTGCATCGGTCACTTCGCAGAATTTGACGAATATTATGCGATATCACAACCAAAGCCACATTTAAATGCAACATAATAAAACACAGCTGAATTTGTGATAACGCATAATCCGTACGAGCATATGGTAATTTGTAGTGTATAGTATATGTAGCTAATTATATCGATTTCTTATACTATGGTAAGATAAAATAATTACAATTACAATTTAAATCCATGAAATAATTTGGTAAAAATGGATAATTAATAAAGTTATTAAGAAATTAAATAATAGATTAATACAGACATTTTGAAATACGCAAAATTAAAGAATGTTAATAACGTTTAACACACTGGCGGTAGGTATCTATGTAATAGTTAAATAAAAAATGTAAACTCCATGCACGGTACTACACTATAGAAGTCCTTGAAAGTGCACCACGATTACACCAAGTATCCGATACTGTTGCTATCGCGAAAGAGTGGAGATTTACGAACACCATGAGCTATCACACCCTAATATGTACATAATGCAAAATAAATTAATGAACTTCTTAGGCTGTGATTACGCATAGTGCGTGCAAAAGTCTTGAAGTTTGACGTAAATACTACAGAAGAACACAATAATTTCCAATTCAAAATGCGAGAAAAAAAATCTATACAAAATTATATAGGTACTAAACAATTAAAATTAAAAACACAGAGTACCTTAATGTTATAAGTCCGTGGATCACTGACATCGATATCCATAAAACAGTTCTGCACATTGTGCATTATTGTACTATACAATTATTATATACCATATGTAAGGCACCGCAAAGCGTTTC